AAGAATGTGTATTCTGTTGTTGTTAGGTGGAGTAGTCTAAAGAAGTCTATTAAGTCTAATTTATAATGTTGTTCAAGACTTCTATTTCCTTGTTGATCTTCTGGCTACTCATTCTATCCATTATTGAAAGTAGGATATTGATGTCTCCAACTATTATTGTTGAATCAGATATACTTTTATTTTTAACTTTTTATTATGGAAAATTTCAAACATATATGAAAGAAGAAAGAATAGTATAATGTACTTATCACCCAACTTCAGCATTTATCAATATTTTGCCAATCTTGTTGAATCTATCGTTCCTCGCCTTTTTTCTTTTTCCCTGTACTGTTTTAAAGCACATCCCAGAAGTCATATCATTTCAACAGTAAATGCTTCTGCACGTGTCTCTAACAGATTAGGATGTTTTAAAAATCCAACTCCAACACCATTATCACACCTAACAAAATTAGCAGTAATTCCTCAGTACTTTCAAATCCCCAGTCCTCGGTCAGTTATTCCAGCTGTCCAGGCATCCCCTGCGTGTTTCACAGTAAGAAGGCTAGTTGGAGGGGGGTCTTTGGAGGGCAAGGCTTTGGCTAGGGTTGGGGGGTTTACGTCCTCATGAGCTCCTGTTTGGTCTATTTCAGAAACAAATGTGGCATCTGGGGCTGGCGGTCTGAGAAGATGGAAACCGTTAGCGGCTATGAGGCCAAGGTAGGAGAGGCTAGTGGTGGGGGCTGGGGCAGGTGATAAGGACCAGGAACTCCTCTCCTTCTTTACAGCTTCTCATGTGGAGGGAGAGACAAAGTAGCCCTTGGGCTCCGGAAGCCCTGTGCGCCATGGGAATTCAGTGGGGCTTGCCTGAGCACCCAGCCCTTGCTGAACACATAGGGATCACCCCCAGCACAGGCCCCCAGCATGGGTTCCCCGCCCAAGGTACCGAGATAAAACAAGGACTGTTTTCCTCTCATTAGTGACTCCCCGGGGTTCAGACCCTCCCACCTCCTCCACTGTGGGGAGTGAGCTATCATCTGTTCCTGGAGACTGGAGGACTTGGGTCCTGTGGTGGTGAGGCTGAGTGTGGGGAACAGACTCTAAGCCCACAGCCCCCCCTGTGTCCCCCCTGTTCCCCAGGTGTACAGTGCCACCAATGTGGAGCTGGTGACACGCACACGCACGGAGCACCTCTCTGATCAAGACAAGTCGAGGAGCAAAGGTAAACCCAGGTGCGCCTGCCTGCTGCCCAGTCACACCATGTGGTGGGGTGACTCTGGTCTGGGGGTGCAGAGTATCTGCGACAAGTTGGGAGGCTGCCCCATTCCTGTCTGCTCTGTCTCCCCACTGATAGGAAGCTCCCAGGGTGGAGGGGGTGCAGTCTGGGGGCAGTGGCCTAAAGGCCCCTCATGGGCTCCCACCCTTCTCCTTAGGGGGGAAGACTCCGTTCCAGTCCTTCCTCGGGATGGCCCAGCAGCACTCCTCCCACAATGGGGTGAGCCAGGGTTGGGGGGCAGGGGCTGGGGACCACTGGGCAGGGCCAGGCAGCCGCCTCCCTGAGTACTAAGCGGGTCCTGGGGTCCATCCAGGCTCCTGTGCAGCAGGCAGCCAGCCCCACCAACCCCACAGCCATTTCCCCCGATGAATACTTTGACCCCAACTTCAGCCTGGAGTCACGGAACATCGGCCGCCCCATCGAGATGTCCAGCAAAGTACAGAGGTGAGGTGTGGGGGCTGGCTGGGGACTTCCCTCAAGGACAGGGACCCTGCCTGGTTCCCCTGAGCCCTAGCGGACTCCTGTCACACACGGGGCCCACCAGAATGGGGGACCCACTCACCCAGCTGGCTTCCCTCTAGACTCCACTCCTTGAGGGCAGGAGCAAGGTCTGTCTTATCCATGGTCCTCAGCGCCCAGCTCAGGGCTTGGCCCAGACGACTGGTCACTCTTCTTCGGTGAATGAATGCATGGACAGCAGCACCCGTGTGTGGCTTTCTATTCAGTAGGCACTTGCTGGGGGCCAGCTTGGAGCAGAGTGGAGAGGGCCCACAGCTCTACCGCCTCCTGGCTTTGTGGCCTGAGGAAATGTCTTCCCCTCGGAGAGTCTAGTCTCCTCAGTCACGCTGAGCCACCTGCTCACAAGGGCGCCATGAGGGTCTGATGGGCGGTGACACAGAGCTTACAATGGGCCCAGCACCGTCCCAGGGACCTCATGTGGACTCTGTCAGCCTCCCAGTGGATTTGAACCCTGGCACTTCCAACTCCTGGGTTGTGTTGGACCCCAAAGTAGGGCAAAGTGGGAGGCGCTGACCAGCTGTGGGCTGAGGAGGATGGGCTGTGGACGAGGTCCAGATGGAAGCCGCAGCCTGGATGAGTTGAGCCGGCACAAACCATCATAGCTCCAGCCTGGGCCCAGGGTCTGGGGGCAGCTGGGGGCATAGGGTGGGAAGGACACACGCTCCTGAGGGAGGCAGTCAGGGGCAACTGAGCAGAGAGGAGGGTACCCCAGGTCAGGCAGAGGGCATGAGTAAAGGCAGGTGTCTGGAGTGGGTGGTCTTTAGCACGGGGGTCACTAGGGTTCCTCGACCCACGTCCTGTGGTCGGCCGGGCAGGTTCAAGGCAACACTTTGGCTGAGCGAGGAGCACCCGCTCTCCCTGGGTGACCAGGTGACGCCCATCATCGACCTAATGGCCATCAGCAACGCTCACTTTGCCAAGCTGCGTGACTTCATCACCCTGCGCCTCCCACCTGGCTTCCCGGTCAAGATTGGTGAGAGGGTGGTGGGGCAGCAGGGGGGCCTCAGGCAGTGCCAGGGGCCAGGCGCGGGTGGGTCTCTGGCCGCAACAGCTCAGGCTGGGCTGTCTCCTCAGAGATTCCCCTTTTCCACGTGCTCAACGCCCGCATCACCTTCAGCAACCTGTGTGGCTGTGACGAGCCCCTGAGCTCAGTGTGGGTGCCGGCCCCCAGCCCTGCGGTCGAAGCTTCAGGTACCACTGCAGGAGGGAGGGGGCCGCACGGCGTGCTGGTCTCTGGGACCTGGGGGCTGAGCTTAGCCCGTCTGCCGTCCCAGGGAGCCCTTTCCCATGTGAGGTGGACCCCGCTGTGTTCGAGGTGCCCGAGGGGTACAGCGTGCTGGGTGCGGAGCGCAGCGAGCCCCTCCGCGATGAGGATGACGACCTGCTGCAGTTCGCCATCCAGCAGAGCCTGCTCGAGGCAGGCACGGAGGCCGAGCAGGTGGGGCGCGGGCAGGGCGGGGCCCTGGGAATGGGCCGGGGTGGCAGAAGTGATAGCTCTGGGCTCTGGCTGCTGCAGGTAACTGTCTGGGAAGCCCTGACCAACACCCGGCCTGGCGCCCACCCTCCTCCCCAAGCCACGGTGTATGAGGAGCAGCTTCAGCTGGAACGGTGAGGCCCTCTGGGGCTTATTAGGTCCATGTCTCAGCCCTGCCGTGCCTCTGGAGCCTGCCAGCCAGGGGGTCCTTAGCTGGTAGGGATGGGTAGCAGGCAGGTGCTGGTCCCAGGACCCCTGCCTTCTTCAGGGTCACCTGCCATCGGCATTGCTGCCCACCACCGAAGGTGGCATGTGGGAAAAGACAGGACCCCACCTTCTCTCTGGTCTCCCGCGTCGCACCCACCCTGTCCTTGTCCTCCAAAGTCACGTCCCAGCCCTTGGCCTCTTCCCCCAGCCTTGGTGCTCACTGGTCTGCTCTCCCTCTCATGCCTTGCCTGGAAGGGCTCTCCAGGAAAGCCTGCGGATGTCCACAGAGCCCAGGGGTCCGGGATCCCCTCATAGGACGCCCCCGGCCCCAGCCCCCCCAAGCTTTGAGGAGCAGCTTCGCCTGGCCCTGGAGTTGTCCTCGCGGGAACATGAGGAGCGGGAGCGGCGAGGGCAGCAGGAGGAGGAAGACTTACAGCGGATCCTGCGGCTCTCGCTCACAGAGCACTGAGCACCAAGCACCCGGGCCCTGGGAAGGAAGGCTGTCCGGGCCATTCCCCCACCCGCTTTTGTAACTTATTTATTTATAAACTGTCTGCTGCTGAGTTCCGGACCTGGAGCCCTGGGGGTGGGCTTGCGTTGGAGACCAAGACAGAAATAAAGAGACCTTCAGCGGCTGGGTTTCTCTGCTTAATGAGGGAGAAGCTAAGGGTGCTGAGGGGAGACACCATGGGTGATGGCCTCAGACCTGGGTTCAAATCCTGGCCGTGACCCCCTTAGCTTCTCTGAGCCTGAGTTTCGTCGGCTGTAAAAGGAGACCCACATCCCACCCTCCAGAGCCTCTGGGAGGGTAAAAGGAGCCAACACGGGTCCAGTGCCCATACAGAGTAGGAGTTCCATAAACCTCAATTCCCCTGAACTCTGTCCCACCTACTGGAGACCCAGGTTCCGCCTGCCACCTAGTCTGGCTTTCCCAGAACCCATTCATACTCCTATCAGGGAGGGGGAAAGGCTGGACTTCCAGACTACTTACAACCAGAGCCCCCTGCACCCCAGGCCCGAGTTGCTGCTCTGATTCGCATATTCAATCGGAGTGGCTTTGGGCAGGTCACTTCCCTCTGCTGCAGTTGTGAACCTGCTCAGCCCTGCCCACCTCCAAGGTCGCCCCGAGGCTCCCCTGGGAGACTTGGGGTTTAGTTCTAAATCCCACTCGATTTCCCCTGAAGCTTTGCATGCCTCCCAGTGATTCATGCGGACAGCGGAAGCATGAGGGCCGACCAGCATGGAGAAATATGCTTGCGGCGCCCCGCTAAAGACCCTCTGTGTCTGATCCTAAGATCTGTGTCCCCAGTCTTGCCTCCCTAGGTCCCATCTCTGCTGGGTAACAGAACGGTTGAGCTCAGGTGACCTAGTTGGGCGGGGCAGGGAGGGTAGGGGCAGGGGTGCTTCCTGGGAGGAGGGGCCGAACCCCGGACGCAGGTGGAAGGCTGTCGGACCTTCGGGCCCCTGCCCTGCAAGTCGCCAGGCTCTGCACCTGCGCCCCGCCCCCGGCTCCGCCCCCAACGTGTTTGGGGGGCGGGGGCGAGGCGGACAGAACACCGGGAGACGCGAGGGGAGGGGAGCGCGGCCGCTCTGTGCGGCCCCGCAGGCCGGGCTGGACGGGCGTCTGGCCCTTTAAGGGCCGCCCCCGAGGAGGTGCCAGGCCCTGGTGGCTCCGGTCTCTTCTTCCTGGTCCTGCGGGGCAGCGACTGTCCGTGTGTCTGTGGGGAGGTGCTGTGCCGGTGCCAGCCCAGGTGCCCCCAGCCTGGTCCCATGGCCCTGGTCACAGTGAGCCGCTCGCCCCCGGCCAGCGGCTACTCCACGCCTGTGGGACCCACGGTGAGTCTGGCTTTGCTGTGGTCCTGCCCACGCAGTTGGCTTCCAGCTGGGCCCGGGGGAGCGCGACCTGCCTACGGGCAGCTCCCCCTCAAGCCTGGGGGTTTGCGGAGGGGGACCCCAAGTCTCAGGCTGGAGGGGATTGGGGGGTCTTGAGGCTCCCGGGAACTTAGACTATAGCAAAACCCGGAGCCCTGAACGCCAGCCCAGCCTGCGGAGGCCCTACCGCCTTCCTGCCCCAGATCTGGGCCAAACTCTAGCACCCCACCCACCTTTACCCCCCTGCTGCCCTACCTGGACGTGGGCCTGGCTCCCCCAGTGCCTCTGGTGGGAAGGGTATCTGACACCTTTTCTGGTTTCACTGGAGGGGAGGCAATTCCTCCCATCCCAGCATTCCTGAGAGGGGAGAGCATAGTCCTTACCCCTCCCTCACTCTGCGCTGGGGACCCTTTTTTCAGCAGGATCAAGCCTCTAAGCGGAGAAGCCGGCTCCAGCGAAGGTGAGCACCTCCCCCCAGCACAGATACTACCACTCTGCCGCTGAGCCTGGCCACGGCCATCCTGGAGGGCTCACAGCCAAAGCCAACTACTAGATACGTAGGACAATGTTGTCCGTGGGAATGGCTGGTGGGCACGGCTGGCTGGCAGCACCGGCCTGGCTGCCCTTGCTTTCATCTTCCTCTTGGTCAGTTGGGCAGGCTCCTTCACCCACTGTGCTGGACCCTGGCTCAGGGCGGTGGTCACAGGCCCAAGGGCAGGATGGGACAAGGCCTGAGGATTCCTGGGTCCCCACCAAGCTTACAGCATCTTTTGAGTTAAGCAGGCGGGTGGGAAGGGAAAAGGAGCAACCACCAGCCCCCTCAGACAAGAACAGATGGGCTGGGGGCTTGAGAGCCTCCAAGGAAGGCACGGCTCTCAAAGTGTGGTGGCTGCATACCTGGGAACTAGTTGGAAATGCACATTCTCAGGCCCCCAATCCAGACCTACTGACTCTCTGCGGCTGGGGCCCAACACCTGCTTTAATAGGCCCTCCTCCAGGTAATTCTGACGTACCCCTGTCCTGAGAGGTACGCGACAGGCCGTAACGGTTTCCCCACTGCCTTACCAGGCAGAGCTTTGCAGTACTCCATGGGGCTGTCCTGGGACTGCAGGATGGAGGGGACAATGGAGATGCAGCTGAGCCCAGCCCTGAGCTGGCGGAGGAACCCCCAGGCGAAGAGCAACTCCACGGGCACCAGACAGACAATGGGCATGGGCCCCAGAGTCCCCAGAAGCTGGAGCAGAGTCAGCACCTCCACCTCATGGTGGAGCTGCTGAGGCCGCAGGATGACATCCGCCTGGTGAGGGGCCATGCAGAGCCCTTGGAGGGGGAAGAGAGCTCCCCTGGGGTGGGGGTAGGAGCGGGCAGAATGGAGCCAGTGTGTGTCTGGGAAGCAGTGGTGAGAGGGCAGGAGGCACCCTGGGGAGTGAAGGGGTTACCCAAACCCCTACAACCCTGCTGTCTCAGCTGGAGTTGTTTTAAAGGGCGAGGTCCTGTTTTCAGGTCTCTGGAGGACTGGGAAAGGACAGGGAGGTTTGCCTTTGTGAGTCCGTAGGGCCCAGTTAAGTCAAGAGCTGGGGTTACACAGGGGTGGGTTTCTGTGTCACCACAGCAAGACCTTCCTGACAGTGGGAATTGTCCATTAATGGACCTGCATTCAAGGGGCCTACTGAGCACCCACTGGGAGCTGGTATGGTGGGAGGGGCCCATACAGGGGATGGGACACAGACGGGGGCAGGAAGATCAATCCCCAGATGCTTATGGGACATCGCACTCTGTGCAAAATGGTGTAGTCAATCTTTCGTAAAGCTGAATTTACTCCACGGAAACACTGTCTTTTGTTGAGATTATGTCCTTAATATTTCTTTGGTGACAAACGTTTATTGAATGAAATGATGGTAATGGCAAATGAAAGCGTTGTTTTTTTTTTAAACCTCTTCCTAGGCAGAAATAAAAAATGGGCAATCTGTGTCAGACCCATTCTCCCCTTTTTTTCCACACACTTCCCCTTTAAGAAAAACCTTTTAAACATTTTGTTGGACCATGAAATCCAAAAGTTGGGAACCAATGAAATGTAAGCACTGATCTGGTATCTGGGGAGAAGGGGATGGGTGTGGAGGGAGCAGGCGGCAGGTCTGTTCTAGGCCCAGGTGTGTGGCCAGGTGGCGGGAGCAGGGTCCTCTGGGCCACCGTGACCCTGGGCTTCTCTCTCCCTATCTTCCCCAGGCAGCCCAGCTGGAGGCAGCACGGCCCCCCCGGCTCCGCTACCTGCTGGTAGTTTCCACGAGAGAACGTGTGAGCCAGGATGAGACAGTGCTTCTGGGGGTGGACTTCCCTGACAGCAGGTTGGGAACAGGGAGAGGAAGGGAGGGGGGCATGGAAGTGAGGTCCTGGGGAACAATGGCTTTCCCTCTGTGTCCTGCCAGCTCCCCCAGCTGCACCCTGGGCCTGGTCTTGCCTCTCTGGAGTGACACCCAGGTGTACCTAGATGGAGACGGGTAAGAGGTGGCAACTGGAAGGAGGGGAAAGGAGAGAAAGGGGCCAGAGGGTGGAATAACCAAGTGTGATGTATATGATGGGGGGGGGGGCACTGGGGAGCAGCTGCAGAACTCTAAGCTGGGTGTCTGGGGCATGGGCCTACTCTCCGCTGTACTTCGGATTTGCTGTGTGGTCCTGGGAAAGTCACCTAACGTCTCTGAGCCTCAGCCTCCTCTATATGGCAAAAGGGGCTGATTTTGAAGCTCAGGTGAGGTGTACATATTCTGAGGACCAGCCTCATGAGGTGCGAGTGAGTGGGCCTCTCAGAGGCTCTGTCCCAGAGCTTGGAGTTGGGTTTCACCCACAGCTTGCCTCCGGCAGGGGCTTCAGTGTGACATCTGGTGGGCAGAGCCGAATCTTCAAGCCAATCTCCATCCAGACTATGTGGTAAGGGCTGGGGTGGTCCAACCTCGGGCTGGCCTCCTCTCCTCGGAGATGGCTGCGGGTCTGGGTGGGGCCAGCAGGGAGGACAGTGTGGCTCAGCCTCTCTTCTGTTCCAGGGCCACGCTCCAGGTGTTGCACCAGGCATGTGAGGCGGCTCTAGGCAGTGGCCTTGTGCCAGGGGGCACTGCCCTCACCTGGGCCAGCCACTATGAGGACAGACTGAGCTCTGACCAGAGCTGCCTCAATGAGTGGATGGCCATGGCAGACCTAGAGTCTCTGCGGCCTCCCAGTGCTGAGCCTGGCCGGTCAGTGCAGGGAGGGGAGGAAAGGGGGGTGCCATGGTGGAGCAGGGAAGGGGCCCCTGGACTGATGGGTTCGGCTCTCAGGCCCTCGGAACAGGAGCAGATGGAGCAGGCGATCCGGGCTGAGCTGTGGAAGGTGTTGGACACCAGTGACCTGGAGAGCATCACGTCCAAAGAGGTGGGCAGGGCGGGTGCCAGGGCCAAGGAGGGAGCTGGACCCGGGTGGGGTGGGGGGACCCTCCAGCTGGGGGCCAGAGGTTTCCTCTCCTTGGAGCCTTTCCACCTGAATTTCCTCCTGTCCTGAACCCATCCCAGACGCTTGGCCTCAGCTCTCTGTCTAGATGGGACAGAGTATGGTCCTCAGAGGCCCCCGAGGGAAGGGTGGGACACCTGGAACCTGTGAGGCACCCGCCCCTCTCCTCCCTGCCTGCAGATCCGGCAGGCCCTGGAGCTGCGCCTGGGGTGCCCGCTCCAACAGTACCGCGACTTCATCGATAACCAGATGCTGCTGCTCATGGCCCAGCAAGACCGGGCCTCCCGAATCTTTCCGCACCTTTACCTGGTGAGCTGCAGGGTGAGGGGCGGGAGACAGGGATGGCGCAGCTGGGCAGGGGGCAGTGATGCTTCTCTCTCCCTGTCCATAGGGCTCGGAGTGGAATGCAGCGAACCTGGAGGAGCTGCAGAGAAACAGGTAGGGTTCCGAGCCCCCTCAGGACTGCCCGCCCTCTGTCTTTCCCCTTCGCTTGGCCTTGCTTTCAGGGCCACCTGGCCAGAAGCCCCCAGAGCCCCCTCAGCAGCTGCTAGCTCTGCTTCCAACAGAACAGCCCCCCTTCCCGCCTGCTGGCAGCTCCCTGGCCTGCCCTTCTCCTTCCCCACGCCGCTGTAAAGGGGAGATGGAAGAGCCCCTCTCCCAGGGGGACCTGGCTACCTGCTCCCATAGGTTCCTGTCACTTGTCCACCATGGGCTTCTGGGAAACCTGCTGTGGCACCTGTCAGCCAGCTGCTGCAGACCCACCCAATCTCAGACGAGCTCAGAAGTTGTTCTCAAACTGACTTCTGAGAATAGCAGGAGGGTCAGTGTTGTCGTTGACCCCAGCAGCTACCTGGACGAGCGGGGAAACAAGCCCAGTGGGCTGACGTGATGGGCTCAAGGTCACAGTCATCTCCTCCCACCATAACTGTGCTGCCCCCACCTGACTCTGAGACAAGAACTAAACAGAAACGCCCAGGCCAGCAGAGTCCGCTGGCCACGTCAGCCTGGCCTCGCATCTCCCACTGCAGGGTCAGCCACATCCTGAACATGGCCCGCGAGATCGACAACTTCTATCCCGAGCGCTTCATCTACCACAACGTGCGCCTCTGGGACGAGGAGTCGGCCCAGCTGCTGCCCCACTGGAAGGAGACGCACAGCTTTGTGGAGGCTGCCAGGTTGGGCTGTCCCCACCCCCACTGCCCACCCGGCCCCATCTTCAAGAGGTCCCATGCCCTCCTCCTGGCCCCTCTGGCCCTCGGGGTCCTTCCTGCCGGGGTGAGCCTGCTGCCTGCCCTGCCCCCACACTGCAGGGCCCCTCCCAGGGAGGGGACAAGGGTCGGGGGATGGGCTGACCATGCCTTGTCTCCCCAGAGCGCAGGGCACTCGGGTACTAGTCCACTGCAAGATGGGTGTCAGCCGCTCGGCGGCCACTGTGGTCGCTTATGCCATGAAGCAGTACGGCTGGAGCCTGGAGCAGGCCCTGCGCCACGTGCAGGAGCTCCGGCCCATCGCGCGCCCCAACCCCGGCTTCCTGCGCCAGCTGCAGACCTACCAGGGCATACTGACCGCCAGGTTCAGAGGGGACAAGGGGACAAGGGGACGGGTGGTGGGGTGGCTGCTTGGGGTGGCTGCTGGGTCACGCAGAGCTGACTCAGGGCTACCTCCTCACAGCCGGCAGAGCCATGTCTGGGAGCAGAAAGTGGGTGGGGCCACCCCAGAGGAGCCCCTGGCCCCTGAGGTCTCGACACCATTCCCACCTCTTCCGCCAGAACCGGGGGGAAGTGGGGAGGTGATGGCAATGGGGTTGGAAGAGAGCCAGGCAGCCCCAAAAGAAGAGCCTGGACCACGGCCCCGCATCAACCTCCGTGGGATCATGAGGTCCATCAGCCTCCTGGAGCCCCCCTCGGACCTGGAGAGTGCCTCAGGGGCCGGTGACCTGCCAGAGGTGAGGCTGGGGCCAGGTGAGCCCAGGCGAGGCAGGTGGGAGCTAAAAGGGGGAGGGGCAGATAGTGGGAGGATGGAGAAGGACCAAGACTGGTGCTGGACTTTCAGCCCTACGCAGGGGCACCTGAGCATGGGGACCAATCCCTGGGCAGCTCCCTCTGGTCCCCTCAGAGCAGCTAAGGAGACCTAGTGAGGGCAGGCGAGTGCTGCTTTCCATGGGAGCTAGAGAGCAGTCGTGGGACGAGGGGCATCAAGGGGGCTCCTCAGGAGGAGCTCCTCGGGGCTGAAGGCCGCAGGCAGCTCTCAGCCTGACGGAAGGACTGGCTTCCTAAGGGGCAGGGCTGCCCAGCCGTGCAGGGAGCATCCTCCAGGCCAGGAGGGGGACACCAACTGCTGATCTTGGCAGCCAGCCCCTCCCAAATCGGAGCGGCAACACATCAAAGGATGGGGTGCAGAGGGGTCATAGCGCTCACATGACCAAAGTCCTGGCTGATCTCCTAGAGGGGGGAACACTGGGGAAAGCCTTCCTGGAGGCGGCGCACTGGTGTGGAAGGATGCGGAGGAACGGATGGTTGATGGATGGAGGAGGCTGTCCTAAAGGCAGGGTGTCCTCCCTCCGACCCAGCTCAGGGCCCGGCACCCGGAAGGTGCTTCACTTGTGGATCACAGGACTCTTCAAAGGCAGAGGGGGCAAGAGGAGGAGGAGAGGGCCTCAAGGACAAGGCAGGGGAGCTAAGGAGGGCTTCTGGAGCCAGAAAGAGGCTGCAGACAGGTGAGGGCCTAGGCAGGGTGCCCGCAGGGCTGGGAAGTGGGACCTCGGTTTTTCTGTGTTCCTTCAGTTGCCGTGTCTGCACCTGCCCCCTCCAGCTCTGTAAACCACGCCCCTGCCCTGGAAAGGCTGCCTGTGACGCTCCTTCCTTACATTTGCACCCCCCAGGTTTTCTCTTCAGATGGGTCTTCAGATGAAGGCCCTCCGCAGCCCTCGCCTCAGCTCTCGAAGGCTCCGGGAGGCCGGCGGGCCCGCAAGGGGCCTTGGCCTGCTCTCAAGTCCCGCCAGTCTGTGGTCGCCCTCAACAGCGCCGCCCTGGTGGCCAGCCGGACCCAGGCCTTCCAGCAGCAGGAGCAGGGGCAGGCTGGCTGCTCCTCCGCACCCAGGCTCCGGAAGGTGGTGAGGCAGGCCAGTGTGGATGGCAGTGGGGAGGAGGGCGAGGCCTGAGGCCTCACACATGCCCATGCCCCCCTAGACACAAACAGAGGTGCCTCAACACACACAGCTCCTGGGACGAGCACCCCGCACTCCGTCAGCCTGTCTGCACTCCTCTTAGCTCCTCCCCCGGAGGCCCCAGACCCCCGTCACTACAGCCTCAGCTCCCACAGCCTTACGTCTCAGACCCATGTCCACCCGTCCAAGGGCTCAAGACTTTCTCTGTAATTGGGAATGTGGTGGAGAGACTGAGGCGCTTTGGGGGCCAATAGCACACTAGCTTCATTCTCAACTGCTGCCTGAAACACTTGCAGCCACGGAATAAAACACCGAGTGTCTCCGTGCAGAAAGGCTCATGTTCCCTCCCTCACCCACTCCTGTCTGCCTCATCCCTGCCCCATTTCCTTCCTGGGACCCTCCAGGCCAGAGAACCAGGGGCCCCCAAAGGCTGAGCGTAACCTCAGTCCTCAGTCCCTAGTCCTGGGAGGCTCTGAGGAGCGGAGAGCTGGGCCCTCTGATGGGGCTGGCAGTTCGGCCTTCCTCACACACCCTACAGCCTGCCGGAGTCTTTTGCTGTTGCCCCAGGATGCACCACCCCCTCCCCTGGCCTCTCTGCCCCGACATTGGCACTGCCCTGGGCCACAGAGCACCAGGCCAAAGAGATCTTTTTGTCCTTCACGGCCTCTGGCCAGTTTTTCATAATAGTATCTGGCTTTGTACTTAGAAATAAAAAACATTTTCATATTATTTTCAATTTTATGATAAAGCCATCTATCTACCCATCAGTCCAATTCTTCTCTGGTTACATGAGGAGTTTGGCCTCTCCTTACCCCCTCCAGTCTCCTCATAGAGCCCAGGTGTCTGGGGACAGGCCTGTTTGGGGTGGGGTGGGAGGAAAAATGGGGAAGGGGGAGCCCAGTGCTATCTCCCCCATCTCCTAGGGCGGGGCCTGGGTAAATGTTAGCTGCCCACGCCCCCTCGGGCGGGGCGGGGAGGGAAAAGTCTACACCGGGCAGCAGGTGCTTAGCTCTGTTGGGACAGCTGAAGGGAGTTACCGATGAGGAAATGGAGACTGCCAACGCCTGTCTGGACAGGACCAAGCCTGTTCCAGAAGCTAAGGTTCCTTTGGGACACTTGATGCTATTTATTGAATTCACTTTGGGTCCCAAGAATCCTTTTCCTGCTATAGTGCATTAGAGCCTGATTTTCCAAGCCAGCCTATGACTGCCAGGGAAGAAGGACCCTCTGTGGGCCCTCCCCGTCTGCCTCGGTGTTCCTTCTGCTCAGTTTTCATGTTCAAAAAGAGTTAAGTGTCTCCGTCTTTGTCACTTCTAGTTCACATTTTCTGCCCTATAACACACTTCTTGGTTGTGGGGTGGGTATGCAACTCCTTCCCTCAAAGCAGGCCTCAGAGGTAAGAGCTTGCACCAAATATTCTCATTGATTGAGACCTCACCCCCAGTTTTAAGAATAAATCTCTCACCCACACCCTGGTGCTGTAACCCTGCAGTACCGAGGGGCAGGAGACTTGGGTTCTAGTCCCGGCTTCACCATTTACAAGTTATTTCACCTTGAGTCTCTGTTTCTCTCTGTAAAACAAAGGGATTAGACCAGGAATCCCTAAGTGCCCCTCCTCCCACTTTGATATTTGAACAATACACGTCATTATACATTGATAGAATTCAGCCTCAACATGCTCTTTAGAAGAATCACTTGTACCTGTCTGTGGCTGGCATGCCTAGGGTCACAAGGTGGGGTCTAGAGAAGCTGGTTCTGATTCTGGACCCGCTTGGCTGGTCCACCCAGCCTGCCATCCTACAGCCAACCATGAATCCCCCCCAGACTGCCCTTTCGGTTGGCCTAGGCTGGGGCAGGGGGCGGGGGGGGGGGCAGTCAGGAGCGAAGCCAAGGCCAGGCCCTGCCCTCCTGCAGCCTGTGCAGCTAGGAAGACAGGGTCCGATCATGAACTCAGAGCTGTGAGGCCCACTAAAATCTATGGAGGACACTTGAAAAGTAAGAATTCAGCACGCCGGGGGAAAACTGCATCAAAAATGCAGACAAAAGATTAAGAACTATATGTATATACAAACACACAAATTGCTAAAGGGGCAAAAAAGTTTAAAAATATATGTATACAAAATGCAAAGTATGTCTCCCTCAGATCCTGTCTTCCAATCCTTCACAGGCAACCATTGTTACCAGCTTCTTGAATCCCTCCAAAGACATTCCATGCTTATGTCATCAAATATATTTGTGTATCCTTTTTTAAAATATAAATTATAGCATATTAACATACTATTCTGCTCTTTGAAAATGTTTTTCATATCATGAAGAGTTGCACACCAGTACACAAAGCTCTGCTTTATTTTTTTAAAGAGTAAAAAGCATTTATTTGAGCAAAAGGAGCTGCTGCTCTGCTTTATTTTTTAAATAATCACACATATTCTCTTCTAAGGAATCCATCATTTACTTCAGTGGTCATTTACCAATGAACATTTAGGTTGTTTATGGCTTTTCCCCCCATTCCAAGTAACTACCCTTGGATTACTAGATACTTTCTCGGGCACACATGGCCACTAAATCTGTAGGGCATATTTCTAGAATTGCTGAAGCAAAGGCTATGTGCATTTTTAATTTTGAAAGGCACTGCCTAATTTCCTTCTAAGCAGTTGCACCAATATACAGCGAATGGGAATGGCTGTTTATGTTCATAAAGGACTATGCAGCCTACACATCAGTGTCATCTCATAGGAACCTTGCAACACTCCCAGAGGAGAAAGGGCAGACAGTATAACGACCAGTTTTACAAATAAGGGAACGGAGGCCCAGAAAAGTAACCGTGTCTCTGATAGAACCTGAATCAGATCCTAGGTTTCTAGATCTCAGTCCAGGTGTAGTCGGTGGTAACACAGGTTCCTGACTCCGGAGAGGAGAGGGCGGTTCCGGGCAGTCAACGCCCTGAAATTCACCGTTCTGCCCAAGACAGGCCGAGGGTCCGGAAGCGCTGGGAGCTCCCGGGAGGAAGGGAGGAAGGGTCAGAACGACCCCTACTCACGGAGTCCCGATTTAACTCCCACCAGATTGATACAGGAGCTTCTCAGGAGCCGGAGCGGTCGCCCAGCCCCGACTTGCACACTTGCGCGACGAGGAGCTCGCGTCCCTCGTGCAGCCGGACTCTCCTGGGCCAGCTCCCGCCTTCAGAACGTTCTCCCTCCGTCGGACCCGGCTCTGCTCCGGCTGCGACGGGCCCGAAGCCAGCGCGGCCCCTCGTTAGGGCAAGTTTTCAAAAGGCAAAACTGAAGGCGCCAAAGAGACCGCGCCCCTACCTCTGTACCCGCACCCCAGACGCCTCAGAGCCGCGGCTGCCAAGAGAAACTACCTTTCAGGCCTCCGTGGCCTCTCCTACGCCGGCGGCGCCCGGAAAAGCGCCCGGTGGCCGCGGAACCCAGCGCCTCAACCCACCGTGACGCTGGGGCGCCATCTTGCGTCCGTTCCTCTCGCTACCGAGTGACAGCCGGGAACCACATTTCCCAGAGTGCCCAGCGTGGCCGCACAGGCGCAAAGAGCCCCTCTCGTTTCCATGGGAACCTCGCCCCTCGGGGGTCCCCGCCGCTTGACTATTGAGCGCGAAGCTGTAGCTCCCTTTCAGGTGCCCTGGAGTTAGGACGGGGTCTGCAGCCTGTTGAGGGGCAAAGTAGGGGGCTTGAGGGGAGGAGGCCAGGCGGCCCTGCCTTCCGGAGCCCGCGTTCCTAAATTCTGTTCGGCGTCCGGGCGTACGCGCGCACCTGGGGCCTCCGCGCTCTGAGGCGGAGGGGCTCTGCGAGGCGAAGTCAGTGTCTGTCTCTGGCCCGCGCAGCCCCGCTCGCTCCGCGTCAGCGCCTTTTCACCCCCGGCCGAGGGTCTGCGCGCCTCTGACAGGTATTCCCCGGGCGGGGCCCGGGCGCCACAGCCCGCGGGATGGTTGGCGCCGCACGTGAACGTGCAGGCAGCGCCAGGTCCTGCAAGAAGCGCAGCTAGGATTGGATTCCGCTCTGCCTCTGATGGATTGAGGACCCGGGGCTCACCCTTCTGGGCTTCAGTTCCCCCTCTTGTGAAATGGAGTTTGGGCCGGAATTCTCATGCACGTTGCAATCACTTTGCAGAGCAGCCCCTGGCTCTGTATGACCCGAGGTACAAGTCCCTCTACATATCTGAGTCGAAGTTCCCTTCTTTCTAAAGTAAGGCTCTTGAAGCAGATGACCTCTAAGGCCTCTTCTAGCGGATATGGGATCATTGCCCTTCACTGCACACTAAGTGCAAGAAGCAAGAAAGAGAACTGGATGGGCTGAGCAAGAATCTCAGCTCACGATCTAGAGTCAGAGAAACTTGGGTACATGACTTGGGGCAAAGGTGTTACATCTCTTGAGCCTCAGTTTCCTTATTTGCAAAACTAGGGGTAGTAATAGTACCGCCTCAAGTTTTTGAAAATTAGATGAGATAATTCATATGTAAGTTAAGCTGAAGTCCTGCACATAGAAGTACCATCCCAAGACCCAGCCATCATTTCTGATACTTTAAATCACTGTGACACCTATTTCTAATTATTGCTGGGCAAATCCATTCTCCTAGGCAGAGTGGTTTTGTAGGCTGATTCTGATGGGGAAGGCTGAGTCTTCCGGACGCTTCCGGCTTCTGTGTCTCCTCCCCTCATCTGTAGTCTGGGTTTTAACATTAACCACACAGCATCTAGGGAGGGTGCAAAGCCCAGTGCTATTGGTGCACAAGGTACTTTCCCTTCCTTAACATTCCTAGACAATGTGAACACTTACATAGTATAATGCAGAAGCAGCTGAATACTGAATTACAATCTTTTTCTAAAAAATATTTTATTGGGGAATTGGGGAAGGGGAATAGTGTTGGGGGAAAGGGAACAGCCAAGTTGTTGTCCTTTAATCTTAGTTGTGGAGGGTGCAGCTAGCTCAGCTCCAAGTCCAGTTGCCATCCGGCCGCCTGTCGGCAGCTCACGGCCGCTCAGCTCAAGGTGCTGTGTTCAATCTTAGTTGCGGGTGAGCATAGCCCACCATCCCATGTGGGAGTAGAGCCGGCAATCTTGTTGTTAGGAGCACAGGCTCTCACCAGCCGAGCCATCCTGCCACCTGTTGGCAGCTCAGCGGCAGCTCAGCTTGGACGCAGCTTACTAGCCCATGTGGGAATCAAACCAGCAACCCTGTTGCTCAGAGCTCGCGCTCTTAACCAACTGAGCCACTTGGGCAGCCCTGAATTATAATCTTTATATAATATTATATCATAATATTATGTAAGTGGAACACACAGTTAAAAGAAATATGTAAGATGGGCTGGCTGAGTGGTGTGTTGGTTAAGAGCTGGCTTGGGACGCCAGCTCTGAGCAGCAGGACCCTGGTTCGGATCCCACATGTGGGCCAGTGACACTGTGCCCTCTACAGCTAAGATGGTAAACAACAGCTGGACATGGAGCTGGGCTGCTGTGAGTCCGCCGGCGACGGCATAGGCTGCAGCCCCTGCTGCAGTGGGCTGCCATAAGCTACTGTGAGTGGTGGGCAGCCAGCGTGAGCTGCCAAGAGCTGCCGTGAGCGGCCATCCAGAGGCCGGTGACCGATCTGCCTCACCCGGGAAGAGCGCAATGATCACAATACCAACATGGACCAGTGAAGTGACGTCCTCCACAACTAGACTGAAGAACAAAAGGACAGCAACTTGTCTTGTTCCCTTTCCCTGATTCCCCAGCGCTGTTCCTCTCCCCCAATTCCCCAATAAAAAAATCTTTTAAAAAAAAGAAAAGAAAAATATATAAGAATCCTACGCTATTTGCATTGAGTCCAATCTTTGTGTTAATTCGGAAAATCTTACAAGGAGCAAGGAGTTTTAAATTAGTGATAAAAAGAAATGTTTTATTTGAATCTGGGAACTCCCAGTAGCTCTACAAACAAGCCTTCACTCATCCAACAGTCACCCTTATGTGGAAGTATGAGTATTTTCTTGAGCACCTATTCTGTACACGGTACTGTGTGGGGTACGCTGAGGGATACAAAGATGGATAAGACAATCTTCCCCTTCAAGAAACATAGAGTCTAGTAGGGAAGACCAATTCTGCATACAGAACACATCTAACACGAGCAGACAGTGATGTGTCCATAAGAGAGGTACAGGTAACTGCTGTGAACATCCAGAGGCCGGAGAGACCACAGCTCAGTGGCAATATAATGAGAGCGTCAAGGAGGAGACAGCATCTGAGCCAGGCCTTGAAGGATGTGGAAAATGTGGATATGCCACGAAGTAGGGAACAGATATCCTTGGCACGCTCCCCACAGCCCTGGGGCCTGGAGGAGAAATGTCTGTAGCCCCGACTACCTGGTGAGCTCCTACAAGGCAGAGACTGGGTTTTGGCCCCAGCTTAGCACATGGATGGCACACAGTAAAGATGAGTGAAGGGACAGGGGCTACGAGTTTCCTGTAGAGAGGAACGGAGATGTGGTCTCTGTATTACCCTGAGGCCCTTTTATTAGGCTTACGTGCCCTCTTACAGGCACTCTTCTAGGGGAATAGTGTGAACAGGCAGATGATGGGGGAAGGGCCATATTGTTGGCATATTTAGTGCAGTACCAGCCAACTGGGAGAAGACGGAACAGGGTCTTGTGAGTGGGTCGGAGGGTTTGTGAGCCTCTTTCCCTGGAAATGAGCTGCACAACCCCAGGGGGAGGGACGTGCCGCTTGGGATCACGGAGCGGCAGTGAGGACCAGTGATGGGTTATTCATTCCTTTGGCTCTTGTGGCATTTGTGTCTATTCTTGGCTCTTCTTTTTCTATGGCTCTCTCCTCCCCAGAGACATTTTTCTCCTATCTTTGACCCACCTGGAGTGGGAAACCGTCCACGGTGCCAACAGATTGCCAAGACCTGCAGTTGCCAACAAAGGAAAGAAGTTGGCTTCAGCGCCATCTTCAGGATGACTTCTGGGCCCTGCCCTTCTTCCAGCCCTGCCTCGGGCTGAACCTGTGCCAGAAGCTGGCACTGAAACAGGCCACTCGGAGCAGCTGTCCAATGACCCCGGGAGCGGAGAACTACTTTAGGACCTGGGGTGGAGATGTCGCTTGAGGAGGGCAAAGCAGAGTAGGTTGAAAGGAGAATGGCTTGAAGGACTGGGAAAACCCTCCTAAGTCCTATTTAGACTTCCCCGGGGATCCTCTGTTGCCCACAAGAGGGTGCAGCATCCTCAGAATGAGGAAGCTGGGGAGAGGTTAAGTGGGTACAACCAAAGAAGGGATGGGGCACAACTGACTATCAATTTTGTCTCCAGATATGAGATGGTGTGGGACTTCTGGGTGCCCCAAAAGCACCTTTTCCTGGCAATGCGACCCAAGGCGAGCTGTTTCGCCATCTTCCTGACAGTCTGCGCTCCCACCCCGGAGCCCCGCTCTCCCTCCCCGTCCTGCCTCTGCAGTTTGCTCCCGTTCCACTAGCTGCCGGTAAGTGCCTGCCGAGTGTGTCAAGATCCCTGTAAAGCTAAGTGCCACGGAATGCCTTAATCACCCCAGACCTGGCGCTGAGAGGAGGCTCCAGCAGCTCAGAGCCTGCCGTGGAGGCCTATGCCAGCCTACTTCAGTGGCATGATGCTCCTTTACAATTCACAACAGCTGGAAAGCCTTGTATTACAACTTTCACTTTTCTATCAGCGGCATCTGAGTTCTTAGGTTATAAGTCGAAGAGCCAAACGGTGGCTGGCATTGAGACGAGTGATCTTTCCACTGCCTCAGCTGTCACTGAAGGGGTGCCATCTGCCTGCTGGTGGAGCCACAGTCCTAGGCTAACCTGAAATGACACCAAGACTCTCCTTCCTTCCCTTTCCAGCCGGACTTTCCTGCCCGTTTTCCTCAGTTCTCCAGCCCAGCCCAGCTTCTCTCTGTCGTCAGACACATTTGGTCAGAGCCTCAGTCTCAAGCACTTGCTAGATGCTGACTGTGCCCATGGCGGCAGGTTGCATCAGAGAGCTGGTCCTCCTCCCCTTGCTCCGCCAGGTTTGCCCACTCCCAGGCGGCCACCCTGGATGGCCGGAACACTTTAGGGGATTCTGTATTTGGGCAAGAATATACAAGCCGTTCTCCCACTAGGTAGGGAGGCAAGTTGGCAAAATTTGCCCATTGGGACTCCCTGGCCTGGGTAGTAATGCCACCCTCCACCCCATTGGCATCCCTGGCAGCAGCTCAGTGAGCCTCAGAGGTAAAGGTGGGGAGGTAGGTAGGTAGCAGGGAGGGGGCACACGGAACAAGCCCAAACTAAAGCAAGGCCCCACATACTGGCCTGACTCGAGCTAGATGTAATTGTGGGAGTGGGCGGCAGGCTGGGATGCCCCTGGAGGCTGGGGTGAAAAGACGGAGCTGCTTAGAATTTATACACATAACTTATCTTCATGTGGCCTGAGAGCTGGGCCAGTGTGCCCAGGACAGCAGCCGCCTGTCTCCCCAGGCAACACTCGCTGCTGTGCAGCTCATCTCTTGGTCTGGCAGACTCACTTCCGTCCTGTGAAGGCCTCAAGAGACCTTCTCCACAGCCTCCACCCTCACTCTTGGCTCAGCTAGATGCCCCCTCCAGCCTTGTCCCCAACCTGACTGTCTCAGTGGCCCATGTGTTCCTATGCCAGGCTGAACTCTGCCTCATGAGAAGGCCCACACTCCTGCCAACCTCAAGCTCTTATTTTCTACACAGAAATGGGAAACTGGGAGAGGGAGGCTGAGTGCCATGGGGATGGAGTAAGTGGTTTGGAGGAACAGATGGAATTATTCTGGGGTCCGTGGGAGGCCTGAGCTAGTAAGCAGAGATCCTCCCGCCCCCAGTACTGCTGGATGTCCCGCGTGGCCAGCGGGGCTGGCTGGAACGTAGCCACATGCTCTCCCTGCTGCCAGGTCTGCTGTCCCTGCCGCCCCACCCACCATCCTGCTGCAGCCTCACCCCCACCGCCACCCCCACCCCAGCCCTGCTGTTCATCTCTTCCCCCTGGGCAGATGCCTCTGATTCCTGTCCTCTTACAAAGGAAAAAGGACTCAGATAAGAGAGGTTATGGCAAGAACGCAGAACTACGTGCTGGCTAAGTGGGAAGGAAACGGGTGGAAAGGACATTACCGGAGAGGAATGGAGGTACCAGTTAGCTCTGAGGGCCTCTGGTCCCTGGGATGGTCGTGGGGCCAGGCAGGGCTGGTCTGATGGACACGCTGTCCTTGGAAAGAGAATTCTGTTTCTAGACGGACCCCTGTTTGACAGCCTGAGAGCCTGTGAAGGATCCATTTGATAGGCAGGCTGGGAAACACTCCACCCATTCTTCTTTCTTACAGTTCGTCTCTCTGAGCCTTGAGCCGCAAACCAGCCTCTCCTGCTGACTTTCCCATTTCCTCTGTTCTCCTACCCCCAGGTGTAAACCTCAGGGTGATAACTCTCACTTTCCACATTTAATCAGTTACCAAATTCTGATTCTCCTTCACAGAACAGTTGCCTTTTTTCCCCACCTGCTTCCCCTGGCCCAAGTCCCTGCACCCATGCCTACGTTACTGTAATAGCCTCCTAGCTGCTTACATCCTTGAGCCTGTCCAGGACGTCATGACTCCGTTAACCTTTTGAACTACTGCCTCATTTCTCATGTTCCTCCCAGCTTACTGCCTTCTGGGTGCCCCCGTTGCCTGCCAAGTGCAGCAGACTCAGTTCTTTTGCTCAGGGCCTTTCCTGATCTGGCACCAGCCTTCTCGCTTGATCTCCCAGAACGTCCTAGTGTGACCTTTCACCCAGATCAAGCTAAGACGCCGACTTGCCCTTGAAAACCCTTTTTCCACCTCTTCACCTCTGCTTATGCTCTTCTCTCTAGCCAGGAGGGTCCTCTTTCACATTTATTCATTTTAAAAATATTTGTTGAGCACCTTCTTTTTATTTTGAAAGTTTTCAGACCTACAGAAAGTTGAAAGAATAGTACAACGAGCACATATATACCCTATATCTGGATTCACCAGTTGTTAGCCTTTTGCCACATTTCTCTTTCATCTTTTTTTCTGGACCCAATGAAAATAAGATGTAGGCATTAAGACACTGCACCCCTAAATATTTTGGCCCATATCTCTTACTAATGACATTATCCTATATAACCACAATATCCTTTTTAAAAACAATTGTGGTAAAATATACATAACATGAAATTTACTATTTTAAACATTTTAAGTGTATAATTGTGGCATTAAGTACATTCACAACGTTGTGCAACCATCACACCACTATCCATTTCCAGAACCTTTTCATCATCATAAATGGAAACTCTGTACCCATGAAATATCCCTCTGTTCTACTTTCTGTCTGTATGAATTTGTCTATTCTAGGTACCTCCTATAAGTGGAATCATACAATATTTGTCCTTTTGTGTCTGGCTTGTTTCACTCAGCATAATGTTTTCAAGGTTTACCCATGTTCATACATATAGCAAGTGTCAGAATTTCACTCCTTTTTCAGGCTGAATAATATTTCATTGTACGTGTGTGTCACATTTTGTGTAGCCATTCATCTGTTGATGGACCCTTGGGTTGTTTCCACCTTCTGGCGATTGTGAATGATGCTGCTATGAACATAGGTGTAGACGCATCTGTTTGAATCCCTGCTTTCAGTTCTTTGGGGTCGTACCTAAGAGTGGAACTGCTGGATCACATGGTAATTCTCTGTTTAACTTTCTGAGGAACCGCCAAACTTTTCCATAGCAACCAAGAAATTTCACAATGATGCAATATTGTTATCTAGACTACAGACCATAATTACATTTCTCCAAATACCCCTAAACTTTCCATTACAGCGTCTTAAAAAAATTTGACTCGGGATCCAATCAGGGATCGCAGACTGCATTTGGCTGTCATGTCTCTTGGTTCTTCTTTAATGCGGAATAGTCCTCCTGCTGTTTTGGTTTTTGTGACATTGACATTTCTGAAGATTCCAAGCTGGTTGTATTGTAGGAGATCTCTCAGTGTGGATGTGTTTGAATGTTTCCTCACAATTAAATTTAGGTTTAACGTTTTGTAAGTAGACTACATAAGTGACATGTTCTTTCTGTTGCATTACTTCAGCCATTTAATATTGCTTTATCCCATTATTGTTGATGCGGAATTTGAGTACTTGGTTAAGATGGTATCTGCTTCATCTCGCCATTGGCAAGGAACCCTTTTCCCTCTGTACTCATAAGTAGTCTGTTGGGTGGGCAGCTGAGACCATGTGAATATCCTGTCTCAAACAATCTGTCAATCATTAGCTTCAGCATGAAGTAATCATCTTTGCCTAAATGATCTCATTGTATTTTTAAAGTTACATAATTTTTTCTACAGTTAGTATGCATTTAATGATCTATTATTCTTCAGGAAAGAAGAATTGTCCCTTGTCCTCTTTTTCAGCATCACTATAGGCTAATATATTCTGTCTTTATTCTGTGTGTTATAAGCCATTACCATCATTGTTTTAGATGCTCACATTTTCCTGTTTTTGGCCAATGAGAGCTCCTTCAAGCTGGCCCAAGCCCTTTGGTCATGTTCCTGCTCGGTTGCTTTCCACCACAACGTAATGTTCCAGATGCACCTACTATTTTCTGTAAGCACAGTATCAGCCGTTTGTCCAGAGATCTCTAGTTTCTATAAGTGGGGAAAGAGATTTAGAAACTGAAATCTAGGTTCTAGGTATGCTCACGGCTACTAGGGTTCTATTGCTTCTAGGCCTTGTCAATGGGCAGAGAGTGAAATTTACTTTTTAATCATTGAATTTTCAAACTCTGCTTCTGACCATGTCGGAGCCTTCCCATTATAAACAACAATAAAACTGGGAAATATATATAGGGCAACTATTATTAGTCTTTGAACTGTAAGCAGGACTGGGAGTACTAAGAGGAGGAAAGCCCTTGAGCTGAGCCCCGCGTTAACCCTGGCCCCTGAACCTCTGCCCGGGGACAGTTTGCAGACCACAGCACAGAGGTGGAGCCATGCAGAGAGCAGAACAGCTCGCTGAGCTGATAAGGCAGAGATCAGAGTTGAGGGATGCTGAAGGAGCTAGAAGTTTCAGGGCAGGATGTCAGAGAGGGGGCAGCTGTGCGGAGCGGGGAGTCCCCAGGAGTCTGTGTGTGGGTTCTCTGTGGGTCCGTAGCTGAGGGCTGGGCTGCACGTGTGTACGGTGAGGCTTCATGAGACCTGGCAGAGAGCTATGGATTTGGGAGTGGAATGGAGATACTAAAGATTCCCCAGTGCTGGGAGAATTTGAGTTCAGGCCTAGTCAGAGTAGAAATACGTACTTCACTAATACTCTGGGTATTGGGCTGAGACCGGAAAGGCTGTGACCTAGAGTAGGGGCTGGCAACCAGCATCCTGCCCAAATCTTGCCCATCGCAGGCCACAGACGGCCATGCCTGCCTATTTGTTTACACGTTGTCAATGGCTGATTTCACGCTGCAGTGGCAGAGCTGAGCAGTTATGTAAGTGAATCTTTGGGGTAAATTCCTAGAAGTGGGATTGCTGGGCCAAAGGGTGAAGGCAATGTTGTCTTATTAGTACAAAATCCCCTCCATAGAGGCTTCTATGTGTTTCTCCAAGCCTTGCTAACAAAGTAGATTGTCCACGTTTTTTAGCTTTTTCCAGTCTTACTTAGAGTGAAGTTGGGCATCTTTTCATACACGTGAGTGTGGACTGAGAACTCTTTAAGACTGGGGATCTTGAATAAAGGAATGAACTGGTTGGACTTACACTGTTGCCATGACAATGTGGGCAATGCTAGGTGCCTGGCAGAGACCTTGTGAAAGAAGAGATGAACCTTCTAAAGAGAGCAAGTTCGGGACCTCCCCGTGACAGAACCCCCATAAGGACAGGCAGGAGCCCTTGTGTCTCAGTGGAATGTAGTGTGATCCAGGGACATCCACAAAGCCACTGCAGTACATGACACAGTAACCCTTCTACCCTAGTGGAATTGGTTCTATTATTTTTAATTATTAAATACATCAATGAGAACACGGTAAGACTTTTTTTCTTATTGATTGATTGATTGATTAAAGAGGTAATATAGTTACATAGTTCAAAATTCAAAAGTACTTATTCAATGAAAATTTTCCCCTCATTTCTATTTCTAAGCCACCAAGTTACCTTCCTCTCAAAGGCAACTAATGTGACGAATATTTTGGGTATCCTTTCAAAGATAACTTATGCATAATACAAGTGGATACTCACACATTGTTACCCAAACTGTAGCATATCAAATCCTTTTTTGCCCCATTTAACTATATATTTTAGAGACCATCCTATCTATACCAATACATGAAGAGCTTCCTTGAACTTGTTCACAGCACAGTATCCATTATGTACTATCCCTTACTCTCCTGGTCCCTTATTGATGAACAGTGTAGTCTTTGCTATTACAAACAGTGCAGTGATAAATAACCTGATATATGTTACTTTACATGTACACATGTATTTGTAGAATGAATTTCTAGATATGGACTGAAAGAGATATCTGCATTTGTCATTTTAATCAAGAATGCCAAGTTGGGGGGGGGCCAGCCAAGTGGCTAAGTTGGTTAAGAGCGTGAGTCATGAGCAACAGGGTCGCCGGTTCGATTCCCACATGGGCCAGTGAGCTACGCCCGAGCTGAGCTGCCAACACATGGCAGGATGGCTCAGCTGGTGAGAGCACGTTCTCCTAATAACAAGGTTTCCGGTTCGACTCCCACATGGGATGGTGGGCTATGCCCACCCGCAACTAAGATTGAACACAGCACCTTGAGCTGAGCAGCCACGAGCTGCCAACAGGTGGCCGGATGGCAACTGGACTTGGAGCTGAGCTAGCTGCACCCTCCACAACTATGATTGAAGGATACAACTTGGCTGTTCTCCTTTCCCAATTCCCAAATAAAATCTTAAAAAAAAAAGAAGGGCCGGCCAAGTGGTTCAGTTGGTTAAGAGCTCGCTCAAGAGTACGAGCTCTGAGCAACAGCGGTTCGAGTCCCAGCCCGAGCTAAGCAGCCGCTGAGCTGCCAACAGGTGGCAGGATGGCTCAGCTTAAAAAAAAAAAAAAAAGAATGCCAAGTGGCCACCCCATTATTGTGGGACTGTAATAGCAGGAGCTTGGGCAGCCATGCTCCCGAGAGCATGTAGAGAAGTAGGCCGGATGGCCCTCTGCACGCTGGATGCGATAACCCGTGTCTACGCTGCATCTGAGAGGACCTCAGAGGAGCGCTCGGCAGGCTGGCGCAGTGCGGGGCACAGGCTCCAGGCCAGGAAGTGAAAAGGAGCCTACTTCTGAAGTTGACAGCTTTGATGCCTTCGTTGCCGAGAAGGCTCTAGGGACAGGTGGCTCCTGCTACCAAGGCCCAACAACCCCCAGGAAAACTGACTTAGAGACCAAATTTCACTGGAGTTTAGGACTGGCCATCACCACTGGCACATAAAGGATTGTCATAGGCTGGACAAAACTACCAGACCAAACAGTGGGTGTGAGTGGAGCAGGAAGGTTCTCTCAGTGTTGAGTTCTGACGCTGTAGCTGGCCCCATGCATGGTACCCTCGGACAAGAAGAAAATACTGTCTAGCAGTGGAGACAGTGAAATGTATAGCTGGAGCAATGTGATGTGCGAGAATAAAATAGAAATGGGTCACCACGGGAGCAGAGGAGGAATCCTTAACTCTTCTTTGGGAAGGTGACACAGACACACATGAAGTTAAGGATGGGACTTTTAGGACTAGGAGCCATCAGAACCTCCAGGCGAGGTGAGGGAGGCATCCACCCCAGAGGAGGTTTCTAGGAAACGTCTTTGCCTTCAAGAGGCAAAGGACCAAAGGAGGGCTCAAGAAGGACCCAGGACTGAACACATGGTCCACCATCACTTGTCCACCTTGCCGGGAACCCCTACTCACCCTTAAGGGGCCATCTTCACAAATCTGAGTTCCTTCAGTGTCAGTTCACAGCTGTCATGTGGCAGTGTTTGAAATTCACTTGCACATCTTTTCTCTCTTTCTTACTCCAGTAGGCGACGGGGCTTCTAATCATTTGAATTCGCCACAACTAGCACAAAGTTATTGTTTCCTAGTTTAGGACCAAAGTGGGTGAACTGGAGACCTACCTACCTGCAGAGAAAACTAGCACACGTGTTGAGAATCCCACAGGTCCTAGACAGGTGGTGTTAACCCAAGTTCGCCTCGAGTGTCACTGCTGTGGCTTTGAGCTACTTCTAGACTGATTCAGAAATGGGTTCCCTTCCCTTGTTTACTTGAGTTTTTTGGTAAATTAGCTCCTTAAGCCTTCATGCTACTTAGTGAGTTTGTCTGAGTTTGAGGGTGGATAAATGTTACCACACCTGTGTCAATAAAGAGTGAATCAGTGTGGCCCTCATGGATGGGTGTGGCACTGTTAGTTACTATGACAGCTGGGGGTGCCAGAGAGAACTACAAAACCAGGACAGAGGGAAGCAGGAAATGTGGAGGCTGAATTAGGGCAAGCCATCCTGTACCCTTTCCGTCTCCCCCTGATTTCTTCTTTGACATTGCGGCAGCATCACACCAGCCTCTACCACTTGTGAAGTTCTCGGGAACCCCACGGACACTGCTCTGCCTTGACTCTCGTTTGCTGGTCTCCCACCTTCTAGAGAGAATTTTCCCAAGTGCCATCTTTGGTTCTATCTTTGCAGCCTCTCCTCATCTCCCTTAACTCTCCGAAAGAACTCATCCGTGCTCATGGGCTCAAGGGTCAGTTCGATGCAGGTGATTGGCTCCCCTCTATCCCCAGCCCTCGCGGCTAGACTTGCCCTCTGGGTCTCCATTGCCTACTAGATGTTTCCATTTGGATGTCCTGTCATCATCTCAAAATAAACATGCATGAAATCGAGCCTTCCAGCTTCCCGTTTCTCTGCCCATGGCGTCAGTGTTCCCTCACCCACCCAAGCTCAAAACCTGAATCATGTTTGACGCCTCCTCCCCCCCTTCCCTTTCCAAACACAAGTCTTGCCAGCTGCCTTTGCGACATCTCTTACACAGCTCTTTGTCCTCCCCATTCTGTCTGCACCCAGGGCCTCAGCATCCATGTCTTGAATATTGAATAGCTTCCCACTTAATCTTCCTACCTGTAGTTTCTTCCCCCCTTACTTTTGCTTTCATCCCTGGCCAGACAGAATTTTCTAGAAGGATAATTTTTATCCTGTCTTTCCGCTGCTCAAAAACTTCCAGGAGCTCTCATCACCATAGATAAGTCCAGACTCCTCAAGCCCCAGCCCCTGTGTTGGTCCCAGTCCATCTCACTTGTATTATCCCACATGATATGACTGCAGGCTCTGAAGCCAGACTCTGGATCATATCCCATGCCTGACCCTTGCATGCTGTGCGACTCTATGCAAGTACTTAACCTCTCTGTGCCTGAAGTTCCTCTTTAAAATCGCTTTATAAAAAAATGTATAATTGTTTCTAGGGTTGCTGTGAAGACAAAAGATGCTTAGAACATGGCCGGATACAGAGTGAGCCCTGAAATGCTAGCTGAAAAGTGTGCTGACTTTCATAGCGCGAGTGCTGTGGTCCGCAAACCCTCCCTGCGTGCACACGTCCACCCCTCCTAGTCGCCTCTGCTCAGCCCAGCCCCTCCGTCTAGAATGCTCTTCTCTGCTGGCCGACTCTACTCACCCTGCCAGGGCCACTTGCCTCCCGTTTCCTTCTGGTAAATGCTGCATGGTGCTTTCTACAGTGCTGCTCGGCCTGGGCTGGGTGGTGGTGGGCGTGTCAGGTACGTGAAGCCAGCCATAGGCCACACCTGGCACATCCTCCTGGAGGGTTCATTTACTTGATAAGTAAGTTCATTCATCTTTACGTCTAGAGTCCAGACGTATCATGGAGTAGAATGCAAAACTCACCAGAGCTTTTTAAGATCAAACTCATAACTACTAAGAATATTCAGAGTGGGGCTGGGCGAGTGGTGCGATGGTTAAGAGCTGGCTTGGGACCCCAGAGGGCCCCGGTTCGGATCCCACATATGAGGGCCAGTGACACTGCCCTCTACAGCTAAGATGCTGAACAACAGCTCAACCTGGAGCTGGGCTGCTGTGGGTCGCCAGCGACGGCATAGGTTGCAGCCCCTGCTGCAGTGGGTTGCCATGGGCTACTGTGTGTAGCCAGCAGCCAGCGTGAATGGCCAGCAGCCGCAGTGAGCGGCCGTCTAGAAGCCGGCGACTGATCTGCCTCGCCCGGGAAGAGCGCAATAATGGTGCCAACTTGGGCCAGTGAAACGTCCTCCACAACTAGACTGAAGAACAAAACAACAGCAATTTGTCTGTTCCCCTTCCCCCAATGCCTCAATAAAACTCTTTTAAAAATAAAAAGAATATTCAGAGTGGAGGTGTCTTGGGCCACCCCCAGCCCTAGTGGAGAGTCTGCATTCATTCTGCAGTGGGAAGGTATGAGAAACAGGGGTGTGGTGAGGCGGGGGCAGTTCCAGTGCAGCAGAGGTGGCAGTCCCTGTGCAGGGAGGGTCCCTTTCACACATGGTGCTCTCCATCCTGAGAACGCGTGTCTACACCACTCCTAATTGGCCTGAGGTGGCAGTTGCATTACACTGTTTTCTTAGCTTTCCGCCTGGGTAGGTCTGACCTCTTCAACCTGTCCGAAGCACAGGTGCAGGTGGGAGTGCAGGTGCAGGGTAAGAGCGGGCAGACACACCTGCATGTGATGTGGCCTAGTGTTTACTGACTGAGCAAGTCGCTTTTCCTCTCGGCCCTAGTTTCCTTATCTGTGAATAATGCTTACCTAATGAGATTGTTCTAGCAGTCGAAGAGCCAGCGTGTGTGCAGCATTCAGCAAAGCAGATGACACGGGTGGCAGTTAGTAAACATCAGATCCCTCCCAGCTATACCAGGCTCGCAGCAAACATCTGATTCTCGCATGTTCCCACCACCAGCTGTACCCCACTACCTGCATCTAGTTCCACACCTTTTGCCTCCCTTCCTGTCATAGCAGATGCTCTGATCCAAGGCCATCCTCTTCCCTGTGTGTTAGTGCTGGCCCTTCTCACCTTCACCTTCTCACCTTCACGACCTTGCTCATACAACTGCCTCACCAGTGTCCCTCCCTAAAGGATCACTCTGTTCACCATGTAACTATGCTGTAATCATGCCATCAGAAACAAAAGACAAAACAACAAATGAAAGCCCCTCCTTTGGTGCCACCTCCCCTCTAGTTTCCGTTCTGTATCTCTGCTCCCTTTATAGTCCAAAGTCCCTAAAAGAATTGGCATGCTCCCTGTTTGCACTTCTGCCATTCCCTCTGAGCCCACCCCAGGCACACTCTTGTCCCCATCAGTCCATGGGAGCTACTCGTCTCCAGTGACTGCTGCATCGCCAAGTGCAGCGTGCTGTTCTCAGGCTCCACTTTGCCGCATGAGACCTTGAAACATTCGCTGCTCAGGCCTCCCAGGCCCTGCCCACTCCTGGTTTCCCTCCAGTCTTGCCACCCCTCAGTCTCCTTTGCTAAATGCCCTCTTCTCCCTCTCCTCTAAGCATACAAGGCCCCAGGACTGTCCTCGGACCACTTCTGTACCCTGGTAATCTCATTCACACTATGGCTTTAAATGCCATCTAAAAGATGCCCAAACTTGGATCTCAAATCCAGAGCTGTCCCCAGAACTCCAGACTTGCGTAACTACTGCCTGCTCTCCATCTCCGCTTGGAAGTGGCACAGACGTCTTGACTCTTGATTCCCACTGACCTCACCCCCCGTCTTTCCCATCTTAGTAATGGGAACGCTGTCCTTCCGGTTGCTCAAGCCAAGGGGCGTTATCCTCGACTCCTCTCTCTCTCTCTCTCTCTCTGAAACCCCACAGCCAACCGATCAGCAATTCCTGTCGGTCAGTCCTACCTTCAAAATACAGAAGGCATCTGCCCACTCCTTACCACGTCCGTCTCCCCACCCTGGTCCAAACCACCCTCACCTCCACGAGGCCAACCCCGACAGCCTCCTGAGTGGTTTCGCCTCTTCTTCTCCCAACCCCGCCATCTGTTCTCCAACAGCCAGAGTAATGTTTTCAAAACATGTTTTATTATGTCATTGATTGGCTTCAAACCCACCAATGTCTTCCTCTCCCTCAGACTACAACCCAGATTCCTACCCTGCCCTGCAAGGCCCTATGGGACCTACCTGCTGCCTGTCTGGCCTCATTTCCCACCCCACGCCCCGCACTCCCTGGCCTCCATGCTATTTCTTGACCAGGCTGGAAACGTTCCCTCCCTCCTGGGGGAGGGTGTGCTGGTGGTTCCTTCTGTCTGGAGCGCTCACATCGGTGCAAGGCTCACTCCCATACTTCCTTCAGCTCCCCGCGTAAAGGCCACCCTGTCACAGCCTTCCCCACCAGCCTCTCTGGCCTCTAATCCTAATTTTGCTCACCACTGACCACCAACTGGCATAATATTTACATGTTTGTTTTGGTCCACCTCCTCACAACGCATAACACCCACGAGGACCTCTAGAGCCGGGCATACAGGTGCTCAGCAGATGGGCAGGGCATGGGATAGACGCGTGGACCCAGCCTCTGCACCACCATGGCAACTTGGCACAGCCTTCCCAGGCTTCAGTTTCTCTCTCCGTAAAATCTACCTTGAAGGCTTTTGAGGGAATTTAGAGATAAAACATTTAAAGTCCTTGAGGCGTGATCAGTACTCAATAAAACGGGGGCTAAAAAGACCACTTGGCCCCTCTCTAGGCCTGTTTGCAAGGAGTTCAGTGCTATCTGTCTGTGCGCCCCAGGATGGAGGGCTGATCTAGCAGACGAAGATGACACTATGTGAGGAATACTGATTCCATTTGTCAAGTCACCCTGTCCCAGGGTCCCCTGGATTTCTGGCTCCAGCCAGTTCTCCTCCACCCCAGCTGCATCCAGTTCTCTACCAAAGCCCCTCAGATGATATCTATCTCTGAGCAGGTCCTGTGGGTTAAAACCCTCCCGGAACCCTGCTTTGGACCCCCATGTGGGAAGCAGAGGTGCTTGCTGGGAGTGTGCAGGTCTGTCTGGACTTTCTGATCGAGGGACCCCATGGATCCTTCTCTGACAAAGGACCTATTTTTGTGAGGTGGGGAACACTGGGCAGGCTAGGTGGGTTGGTCTGGGAGGTTTTCTCTGGCTGATCAGTGCGGGCGACTAAAGAGTAGTTCCCCTGTTCACCACCAGGGGGCGCCAGAGGTTGCTCAGCTCTCGTGAGGACTTGCCTGTTTGTCTTACGTGTCTTTCTTCCCTCTTGGGTCTAAAGTTAGGCAGAGGACGAGGCACATGCACCTTGTAAAAAAGTGTGGTGCTGGCTCTCTCCCACCTATCGACTTGCTGGGTGCTGCCAGCCCAAGCAGGGCCACAGTAAGGGACTGGAGGTCAGGCTTCCAGGGTGTTCTTTATTGATAAGCATTAGTGAACCACTTGCCCTGTGAGCTCAGCCAGTGCTGTCCTCATATTCCCAGTCTTAGGTGGGGAGTGCATCTGCCTGAGTCTGCTCGAGCAGACTGTGCCTAAGTTGCTACACCGTCCCCAGGGCCGCAGTCTTCAGATCAGAGAGGCGGCAGGGAGGCGGTGTGGCAGGCATCGGAATGGTCATGGCCAGGTCCTTGTCCTCAGGGACCACTTCTCATGGAGGAGATGCTCGTCAGCTCTCAGAGGGGTTCTGGGAGCCTGCTGGTTAGATGGAGGGCTGATTGCAGAGACCAGATTCAGGCTCCTTCCTTCCCTGTGAGACTTTTTCCTGCCAAACGTTCTCCACAGCAGAGCTGAGTTGAGGGGCCGCAACTGGCTCTCCCTTGTGTCCTGAGGTTCTCAGGTAGTGGGCAGGAAGTCTTAGGTGGTGCCTCAAAGGGGATAGAGATGCCAGAGGCTGTGCAAGGGTGGCAGGGGAGGGAGAAACCAGAAAGAGTCAGTCTATCAAGTCCCTCGATCTGATTGAGCCAGCACCAGCTCTTGAGCATGGCCCATAGTCCTTGGCCAACCCCTCAGTACTAAATAGATAGTCCCCTGGGCCCTGGGTTCACCCTCCCCCCACCATGAGCTCAGAGACAAGAATTATTAAAGCAACCTTCTGTCCTCTTGAGCCAGGCACCTTGTAGAATTTTCTTGCCTGCTCAGCAAAGGACCCCATTTCTCCCTCGGGTCAGGGCAGCCCCCACCCAGGACCAGTGGGCTGGTGGTGCCTGGAGAAGGCCCTGGCTGGCCTGAAAGCCTGCCCCGGTCTGTCTCTGACCTGCACTGGAAGCGGGGATCTCCAGGGTGGGTCTGCAGCACCTGATGCACTTCTGGGGGAGGGTCCAAGCCCATCTGCTGTGCCCGATGCCAGCGTTGCAGCCGAGTGATCCCTGCCAGGGTGGGAAGAAGACAGTGGGGCCTCAGAGGGGGTAGGGAAGAGTCCAGGCTAGAGAATGTGTGTCTCTCACCTCAGGAGACAGTGCCTGAGAGGGTCAGGCAGGGGCTTGGGTTGCTTCAGAGACGTGTGGGTGACAGGACTGGCTCTAGGATGTGCTCCTGGGGCCTGAAGGGGCTCTCACCTGTGCAGGGCCCATACTGCCAGGCCAAGTCAAATTGCCTCAGCAGCTCCAGCTCCGCTTCGTCCACGCTCAAGGGCTGGGGCTCTTCCCCTGCAATGACAAGCTGCTCCTCAGGCCTGCCCAGGCCTGTGCCCCATGCCTCACAGCTGTCCTGCTGCTCGCCAGTCCTCACCACTCCCCTGCCTTCCAAGGCCAGGCCTGGTGTAGGAAGCAGAGGACATACTTCACTTCCCCTTTATTACCCAAGTCCCATGTCCCTCGGCGTCCACTCCTCCCGCCCCACCCCACACCCCACACCTCAGAGACCTAGCTCTGGTGCCAGCTCCCCTTTGCTGTGTCCAGCAGGGTCCTCCCTCCTCTTCACTACAGGATAGGAGTCAGTGATGAGCCGCTTCCGGCCCATGGTGGCCACCCAGGCAGGCGGAGAAGGAGGCGACTGCGGAGAGAGACAGGAGAGAGGCCAGTGGGCACGAGAGAGACAGCTGCTGAGAGAGAGAGTGAGATAGAGCTGGGGCCAGAGAGCGAGCCTGGGGCCAGCGACGGGCAGACAGGATGACCCAGACAAGCAGAGAGGAAGTTCGCAGGTTCCAGGGGATGACGCATCTCCCGTACCTTCAAGCACGCAAACATCAAAGACTCAAGCCAATGGCAGGCCGCCTCCGTGGGGCGGGGCCTGACTCCAGCCAATGGCAGGTGGTGTAGGCAGAGGAGGCGGGGTAGCTGCTACAGCTGTGTTCCGGGGGAGAAGGGGTGAGGCTGGGGTGGGAGACCTGTCAAAATGCCCCGGACAACACCACCTCCTCCTGCCGCCCCCCCACATTGGCCTGCAGTGAGTCTCGGGGGACTTACAGAGCGTTATCCTCAGGCTCTCACTTCCCGTTTTCCCTTCCTAGGCAAATGTTCTTTTCAGCCTCACTAATCCCCGTGGCCGGTTTGTAACTCCCCAGAGCCCAGCTGGAGCCTTCCACTCCCCACCTCCCCCCCCAACCGCCCCCCCCCTCGGCCCACAGAACGTTGTGGGGGCAGGTCTAGAGGTCCAAAGAGAGTTGGGGTTAATCCAGCCCTCTTCCCTGCTCCCACCCCACCCCCACTGGCCCCAGGAGAGCTGGCTGGAGAAGCCCATGGGTTGGGAAAGCTCCTTTCTCACAGTCCGCTCCCAAAGGTACTGCCCACTCTTAGTCCAGGCAAGCATTTGCCTTGTGGGTTCTCCTGGGGGACCCACAGCCGGCTCCTGCCTGCCCTACTAGTCAGGAAGACTCCACAGTGAGCGGGAGGCCAGAGTAGCTTGGGATCCCCAGTTCTTCACAGCACTCTTTCCTGTCTCACACTAATACGAGCATGTGAGCAGAAAACACCAACAATAAACCTAACACTTATACGGCACTTACAGTGTGCCAAATACTGTCCTAAGCACTTTCCCACAGATTCACGCAACTAAAATAGATGGAACATTGTTCCTGAAAGTAGGAAGTGCTGATAGTCACAGGCATTGTGGGGCCCCAGTTAAACCACAGCCCCTCCATCACCCTCAGGAGCTCATAGGCTAATAGGATCCACAAGTTGTCCATGCAAAGATAAACTTACTAACAATTAGGAGAAGGGAGAAGGGTGGGTCAGAGATGGGTTGGCCCACAGGGCGGGCTTAGGACTGGAAGGCCTCCTGGAGGAGGCAGGCTGAGTAAACAGCATCTCTCTATTCTCCACCCATGACCTTTGTCCCAGGGGCTCTTGTCATCGCTGACTCACCCCTACACCCGCCTCCCCCTCACCAACTTCCTGGCAGTAGACAAAAATGCTGGCCAGTGGGAGTCTGGGAATCTGCACAGGGACAGCCCGGCTCTAATCACCCTCCGGTTCTTCCCTCCATGGGAGCAAGGGCCTACTCAGAGGCCGCTGCCTTCCCCCTCTCCCACTGCTCTGGAGTCTGGGTGCTCTGGGTGGGAGAGAAGGGTGGGCACAAGGGAGGAGAACACTCTGGAGAGGGGACCCCCAAAGGGGAGACGCAGGAGCAGGCCATGTCTTCAGGGGCCTCCTCCCGCCGGCTCTCCCATCTGCTTTGTTGAGGAGGGCTGAGTGGAGGAGTGAGAGCTCCTGGGTGCGCTGCACAGAGCTAGGGGGCCCTTCCCTGCTTTATTGTTTGGACTGGGCCTGATCTAATCCCCCCATCTGCTTCATGGACTAAGTGGGGCCCACACTGAGGGAGACAGGGGCCCTGCTGCTTTGGGGAGGGAAGTAGGGAGGCCCTCCCCTCCAGGCCTGGGAAGGGCTTAGGTGTGGGGTCCTGTCAGGCACTGGGCACTCCACGGAGGGATGGCGGCCAGGCTCTGTAGGACTGACCACCCCCTCTCCAGAAGGCGTTCCCAGAGGCGTGTGGCACCCAACTCCTGAGCCCACAAAGCCCTGAGGGAGTAGGGAGCCATGGGTGGGACAGACCCCTCCTCATTCCTGGTCCCTCCCACCCCTGAAAGCTGATAGCCGTGGGGCCCTGCCACCGCCCAGGGAGCGTGAAATGGGGTGTGCCTCTGGGCGGCCACAGTGGCCCCTGCTGCTGCCTGGGCCTATTCCCTCTTCCCTCTGGCACCCTGACCTGCTGTGTGGGCACTGTCCAGAGTGTCCCTGCCAGCTGCCCCCAGATTTGCCTGGCCCAGGCCCCACTAGCCTCTCCCACCCAGCCTGGAAGATGTCACCCTTAGCCTTCAGCGTTCCCCAGCCCCAAGAAAGAGCATCAGGGCAGTCAGCCGGCGTGCTAGCACCTGAGGGCTGGCTTCCTGGCTTGGAGGTGTGGGAACTCTGCACTGGCAGCATTGCCCTCCTCTCCTAGTCAGACCGCAGTGGGATCGAGGCCAAAGGCTCAAAGGAGTTGGCATCCAGGAGTTTGGAGCCACCCCTGCCCAGTCGGCATCCTTCCCTTACTTGGCATCTGGTTCCCTAAGGTGTGCTGGCATCTAGACCAGACTTTGGCCTGCCCATCCTTGGTCTTTTCCTTCTTTTCTTCCCCAACCTTGCCTGCCCCCTATCACCTTCCTTCCTGGAGCTCCTACCCTGCTCAGACAGCCTCCCGGCCCATCCCCAAAACTGCTGTCTGGGGTCTGTCACAGTTCAGGTTCAGGCTAGAGGACCAGGCCAGAGGTCTGAGTTGGGGACTAAATTCTCTCTCCTTCAGGGAATTTCCTGAGACCCAGGCCTTGGTTTCTGTGTCAGCCCTGACCCCCAGAGGCTGGTGATGGGACTAGCAGGAGCGACCTTTGCACCTTGGCCTGGGAACACTCAAGGCCCTTGCCTCATGGCTAAGACCAAAGTCTTGGGGGAACCCAAGGAAAAAAGGAGAGAAAAGAACTGGAACAGGAGCCCAGAACCCTCCTGAGGGCTGAGGCCCACCGGGACTGCTCCAAAGGGAAGGGGGATTAGGCCTGGCTTAGCTCAGACAATGTGGCAGGATGGGGGCCCTCAGCACTGCGCATGTGCCCAGGAGCCCCTTCCCCTCCCCCAGCTCATGATGGAGCTTGTGGGGAGAGCCAGCTAGAGCTAGGAAGGTGGGGGCAGGTGGAGGGAGGAAAGCAGCTGCCTGGGGCCCAGCAGGCTGTGGGGCGTTGCCGTTCTCCTTGCCTCTCCCCAGTACCCCCCTTCCTCAGTCCCTCAGTCCCTGCCACCCACTCTGAGCTGGAGATTGTGGGCAGCCAGACTCACACCCTGGGCCCCCACATATACACCCTGGGCCCCACTCCCCACCCTGTGGGCCAGAATTCTTTCAGGTAGCTCCTCCTAGTTCCACACGACCCTCCCAGATACCCCAATTTTCTCTGACCTAGTGGGCTTAGGGGCAGGGGCCTGGTGGAAGGCAAAGGTTTTCCCCTGGGTCTGAGTTTTTCTGCCACTGTTTTTTTATCCTGTCTCAACCACCCGCTCCAAGCCTCCTCCCATCACCTCCTCTTTCACCTTGGCCGTCCTGGCTCCATGAAGTTCTGGGAAGATTTGAAAAGGAGCCCTTCTGGCCATTCCTCACCTTGGCCACCAGGTGTCAGACTTTGTCCAGCTGGGAGGAAGGGCCTGGCTCCCACCCCGTCAGCCAGCCTTGGAGATCAGGGCAAGTTGGCGAGGGGCCTAGAGGTGACCCCTGAACTAGGGAGGCTGAGGGACCTTGAAGGCTGGGATGAGGAAGAGCTGAATCTGTGGTTCTGAAGCTCACAGTTACTCTCTTACTGCCCCCGCCCCCACCCTACTGACAAGGGCTTTGTCCACTGCTGGGAAATTGGGGGAACCGGGCTGAGTGAGTCAGGGAGCTCAAGAACTGCAGGGACAAAGGCAAGGCCATTTGTGGCTCCAGAGAAGAAGGGGGAGCTGAGAGGGAGCCACCCAACAGAGCACTCAGCCTGGCCTGGGTCACTGGTCACTGCCCTCTAGGCTAAGGGGCACAGGGCCTCCCTTGGCCCTTCCCCATTTGGGGTAGCTGTGGCGAGTGTGTGCGTGTGTGAGTGTAAGATGAGTGCTTGAATGAGTCTTCTCACAGACCAAGGGGGCCCTAAGTCCAGGATGTTGGGTCAGTCTTTGCCAACACAGGCAATGGGCAAGGTGCGGCTTCCCTTTCGCCTCCCTGCAGCAGAACCTCCTCCGTACTCACTCCTACACCCCTGGAAGTTGACTCCCCCAAGCGACAGCTCCCTAGCGTGTGCGCATTCTCTCAAACACAGGCGTGTGTCCAGGCACCCAAGATGACAATGAGATGTCGACTCCATCCCACACTGCCTGGAGATGACAGGGAGGAGGGCCTTCTCCCCACCCCACCCCTAGAGACCACACCCTCCCCCCATGATACCGCAGGGCCGCAGGAATTCCGGGCTCTTAGGTTGACCACTGGATACCTGGGCCCCTGACTAGAAGACCAAACTTAAGAGGTGGAACCTAAGATAACCAACGAAAACTCATCATGTCTCCTGGAACAGCTGTGGACGGGGAAGCAACGACAAACTCACCCTCATACAAGCCCGGTGACCTGTCATTTACCAGGAGCGGCCTGCCCTGTGGTCCACAGTGCTGAAATTCAAAGGAGGGGCTCACACCACCGACACCATCGGTAGGGAGCTATCTGGGGTAGAGTTCAAGAACTCAACCTCTGAAATGCCCTCTTTGAAATGCTCTCTTCTGCACCCACCTCCCTTTCTCCTCAGCTGGAGTGAATCCAGAGCTCACCCACCTTCCTCCTGGTCACTCCCTCCTGTTTCTGTCGGCTCCCCGCCTGCCCGCACTGAGCACTGCATGACTGACAGCCACTCTCAGCACAATTCCTAGCCCTCCAGAGTCTCGCCCCAGGATGCGCTGCCGCGCTGCCTTGCCAGTCCTCAGCCTTGGGGAATGCCTTTTCTCCACGCTGCCCCCACCCCTGGACATCTCTGGCTTGCTTGGGAATGTCACGAATGGGTCAGTTGACAACAGAGTTGTGTTTGCTGGCGTCACCGGGCTCCGTGTGGCTGCCCAGCACCCCTTTTGATTCTCTTCTGCTTGTTCCTGATCGCTTTCCCCGAGGGTCTCCATTCTTCTCCAGCCGCCATCCCTCACACAGCAATGACATTTACATCTCTTCCATTGAAAACCACAACAGCAAACCTACCAACCAAACAAAACACGTTCCATGCCCCT